AAGAAAAACAAAGCTGCATTTTATCAAAAGAGGAAATATTCCTTAAAAAATGGATCATGTATAGCTAGAGGATGAACACATGCAAAGAATAAGTATGAGGAAAGCTTATAGGAAATTTGGGGCCACATTTAAATCAAGTATTTTAAAAAGCAGTATTTGGGTTTCAAGGGTTCAAGAAGGACCCGAGAATGGCAAAGGGAGTAAAAATCTTATTTAGAGAAGCAATAGAATTTCCAAACCTAGAGAATGATTCAAATATCCAAATATAGGAAAGTCGAATTTAACCTGTTTAATATGATTCAATCAAACCTATTGGAAAGTGTCATAATCAAACTCTCAAAGGTTAGCGTATAGTAGGATATACTCAAGAGCCAAAACAAACAGATAAGGAATACATAGTGGTGTCCTTACTCACCTGACAGCAGAAACCTGACAGATCAGAGTACAGTAGGATGAGATTTTCATAACTGAAAGGAAAAAAATGTCAGTTGATAATGCTGAACACAGCAATGATATTCATTAGAATTTAAGGTAGACTATAGACCTACAACTGAGGTGAAATTTCTGAGCACAAACCCAGAAGAACCATAGTGTTTCATTACAGAAAATATTGCCAAAGTTTCTGTGTTTCCTCCTGCAAAAAGTAATCGTCCCAGACTCTTGTGGTATTATTTGACAGGGAGCTCTCATGTTCCTCATATTGGAATCTTGATGCCACACATTTACCAGGTTAGGGGAAAGGCTTCTTTATTAGAGAGATGTCCTGGAGAAGTTCTTGACCTCTTCCCAGGAAGGTCATGAAAAAACTCCGCATTTGAGTTACAAGTGTCAATAATTTGGTAGGAGATAAATTCACGTATTGGAGTCAATGTGAGGCATTGAGTGCCACAAGTCAGAGACTCAGTTGTCTCTTGGATTCACATACTCCCAAAGTCAGGTGAATTACCATTTGAGAAACCTCTTGGCCTGTTATTGTGTCTTGACTGACAATAAATCATCCTTGTGGGGAAAATTTTATGGCCCAAATTTCAAATTGTGTTGTATGGATAACAAGGGGACCCAATTGAATTGGAGCCACTCACCAATATTCTGCAGTAAGATTAAAATAGCACATACAAGAGGGAATACAATCTAGGTGGACGGGGGTCTTTCAGTTCCATGAAAAAGTCTCAAGAATTCCCTTCTGCTTTCTAGTCACATTACCCAATAAGCTGTTAACTCTAGTTACTAGACAGGGGCCTAGATAAGACATTTCTGGGCCATGAATGTAACAGATTCACTCATAACTATTTCCCAATCTATTAGGCTGGGATGGAGTGAAGATGGCATTACAGTTGAAAATTACCTGTCTCTCACTGCACTCTAAAAGGATGCTCGGTAAATGAGCAAGGTTTTCTGCAGTGTGGTTTCCTATCAAAGGCACTGCAGACGAGGAGTACAGTTTTATTTTCACTGATTCATATGCTGTGGAAATTGACTTGGTTATATAGTTGGGCTACAGTAAAACCTGGGAATAATACAAAGAGACCCCTGTAGAGGTGGACTGTTTGAAGAAAACAAGTATGTCTTTAAGCTTATTTTTAACCTATTATATTTTCATAATGTATACTGTGGTTGGCCCAGAAATCCTCATATGTCCTATAGATGTAGGTTGCAAACATGTCTTTGCTTCCTAGGCAAGTTTCATGAGTATAACACATTTTATAACAGTCCCTGATTTGAAGCCATACACGAATGTATCCAATTCTCAGGCATATTATATACTCTTAGAGATTCATAGCACCTTCAAGTAGCAGATTTGGTTAATCATCTTTGCAAACAATTAAAAATGGGGCATATCCAGCTATTTGGCCAATATAAGTTAACTCCAGCCTGGAAAGCACAGTTCAGATGAGCCATCTGTGGTCTCAATGTGGCAATTTCCTAATATTTTTTGTTGTTTGGCAGTTTCATATATTTAGATAATTTAGTCATTTTCAATCCTCTCCCCTCTCTCGTCTTCCTTTGCCTCTCTTCCCAACAAGTCCTTCCCCTGAAAGACCTCGGCATCAAAGCACCTGGTACTGAACTGAACCCTCTGCCCAAGAACTGGGGCCAGACCACTGGATGCAAATGCAAGAGGTGATTTATTGAGTACACAGGCACCTGTGGATGCTACTGCAACTTGGGTGCAGAGCATACCGGGCTTGCAGGGGCACAATATTTATAGAGTTTTAATGGTTACATAAGTATCAGCATAGCAACAGGCATTTCATTGGCTCATCTTGGGGGCAGGGGTAGTTCCCACAGAATAAGTTTCCGGGTGATCCTCATGAAAGACCCCGGCACGCTTAAGCAATTATTATCTGGGTCCCATGACTGCTCTGGTGACCACAGATCCTGTTTGACATCCTGCCAGCTGGGCGAGGCAACTGGTCTGGGTTTTTTCATTAGGCAATGGCCTGGCCTTGTTTTTCTTTTCCTAGGGGGTCCTGGGTAGGGGTCTTTCACCCCTAGTAGTCCTATCTTCTTTTTATGTGTGATCCACTGAGTTTAATTAGTTTCTTGCCTGATCATTGGTAGGATATTATTTATTGGAACAAAGGCAACTTATCAGTGGTTGCACCCCTGAAGAAAATTACTTACCTTACTCTGACAACTGTTTATTACCTACTGACAGTTCCTGATACACCTGATATTAATCAATTTGAAGTTTCTAGTATTTTTTCCATAAGGTGGCCCTAATGATTGGCCCATAGGGTAGGTTGTATATATAGAAGAAATTTTATTGACTCACAAGAACATACAAATCATTTTATTTCACTGCCATTTTGTTGGGCCCTCCCCCCATTGGGATCTGCTGACCATCTTGTGACTGGGAGCTTATCTAGCAAATACTTCTTGTTTCCCTCCTTCTGATAAGGCCTGAATGCCAGTTCCTGTTGTCCGCCCATATTATTGCTGGAGGGGTCTGGGAACGTGAAACTTCTGACCTTGGTAGTTTTCCACCATGCCTGCTCACTGGTATTTAAGGCTCCCTTCTTGTTCCAATAAATGGCATTCCTCTTGCACGAATGATCTGCTGTCTCTTGTCTTTATTTAAATCCTCAGGCCCCTTGACCAAATTCGTGAGAAATGTTGTAGTGCTAGTGATACACCATTTAGACTAATAGCATATTGTCAGCACCATGGCTGATGAAGAGGTATACTTCAAATGTCAAGACATGAGCATCGTCAGTCAGTCACATGAAATGGAAAAGAAATGTAAGATAAATCTTTTTTGGTTTTTCTCTGAGTAACATATTTAACTTCCATGTTGTTTAATTTATGTGTATGCTTTCTCAGGGTAGTTTTCACTGTCTTATATTTGACAATCAGGTGGCTATCACACATCACCTGACTCCAAATACAAACATCTAATTACTAACCAAAGAGTACTATAAGTGGCAATTTTTCTGAACATAGTCTTTTATGGTAACTCAGTTGCACTAACTTTTTTTATTTTTTCAGTTGCATTAACTTTAAAATCTAAATTCTATGCATTATTATAACAGAATTTTAATATAGTAGGAGAAAAATGTCTACTCACCACTTCCAAGTAAGAAGGGTGTATCAGAGTTCCCTAGAGCAGTGATTCTCAGCCTCCTTAATGCTGGGACCCTATAATACAGTTCTTCATGTTGTGGTGACCCCCAACCATAAATATATTTTCATTGATACTTCATAACTATAATTTTGATATTGTTATAAATCATAATATAAATATTTTTGGAGATAGATGTTTTCAGAGGGGTTGTACCCCACAGATTGAGAACAGAACTGATAATATATAGTATCATAAAGTGGCTATATTAATTTCGCTTATACAATATAGGCTGGTTAGTCCAATAATGGCTGTGTGCATACCAGAGAGGCTAAGAGCCTGGCAGCTGTTTGAGTCATGGAGCTAGATGACTCAGCATTCCCAATCGGATGCTGAGGACCTAGAGGATTTCTGAAGAGTGTTTGATCTTCAGTCTCTGATAAAAGTACAAATAAACTGGGTTCTAATGGCAAAAAAGAACAATGGTAGCATCAGAGGCAGAAGGAACAACAAAAGTAGGTACACTCTTGAGCAGGAAGTGAAGGTAGGCAGACAAGTAGCACCAGTTTTCCCTCAGGTCTTTTCACACCTGGGCTACAGCCAGAAGGTATTACCCACTTCCTAGGAGGATATTTCCTCTTTAGAAAATATCATGAAGTGTGTCTCACAGTTGATCCAAGCAAAATTAACCATGGCAGAGAATATTTGAAACATTTAAAAAGAGTGGAGTGGGACCTGACTTTGGGATAGTAGAGGAATTATCTTACTGTAGAGTGCAGCCTTCCCACCAGCCTGTTTCCAGAGCCACATCAGTCCCAAATGAACACACAGGAGGCTATATTAATTATGAAGCTGTTGGCCATTTGCTTGGTTTCTTACTGGCTATCTCTGACTTAAGTATTTACCTCATAATTGTTAATCTAAGTATTTCTCTTACCGGAAAAAGGGTCTGGACCTCTTACTTCTATGGCAGCTACACGATGACTTCCTGTGTTTTCTCTTTCCTAGAATCCTCCTCGACTCCTAGTCCCACTTATCTTGCTTCCCTATTGGCCAACAGTGCTTTATTGACATATACACAGGACTTCCCCATCATCTTACCTTATATTTGCTCCTGCTTGACACAGAGTTTTTAATTTCACCCAAGGTCTCTGGTCTTAGAAAAGGGCTTCTAGTTGGTTAGTACCAATTTTAGGAAATGCCTCTGAAACTCTTAGCACTGTGTGAACACATTTGATGTACTATTTCTTTCACAAAAGTCTTTACTCACCTTCGCCCAGTGTAGCATGCACATATGGAACAATACAAGGTATTTCTAAATATTCAAACCAGTCCCTGTTGTTGGGCATGCTGCACTGTACTAAGTTGGGGACTATATAACAAGGCAGATTCTGATTACTTAGTGTAATTCTGAAACAGTATCAGCAGCACTCTGAGCATGCACAGTGTGAAGGAGACTTCTCTTGCAATAGAAATTGTTGTGGGTGACAATTTCCTAACCTTTGCTGAAATCCTTAATGATACTACTTCATCTTCAAAAGCCCAACAGGTAAGCATCAATCCTTTCACTGTGCTGCCTAGTCTTTATGTCAACTTGACACAGGTTAGGGTCATCTGAGAAGAGGGAAGCTCGATTGAGAAATTGCCTCCTTAAGATTGGCTTGTAGGCAAGCCTGTGGAACATTTTCTTGCTTTATGATTGATGTGGAAGGGGCTAACCTACTACAGGAGGTGCTATCCCTGGGCAGGTAGTCCTGAGTTGTATAAAAAAGCAGGCTGAGGAACTGTCTTAGTTAGGGTTTACTGTTGTTGTGAAGAGACACTATGACCACAGCAACTCTTACAAATGAAAACACTTCATTGAGGGGGTTCACTTACAGTTTCAGAGGTTTAGTCCATTATCATCATGAAGGCTAACATGACAGCGTACAGGCAGATGTGGTGCTGGAGCTGAGAGTCCTACATCTTGACTCAGAGGCAACAGGAAGTCCAGTGATTGTCTCACTAAAAGAAGCTTGAGAAAGAGACTTAAAAACCCACCCCCACAGTGACATACTTCCCCCAACAAGGTCACATCTCGGGCCCATTTTCTTTCAAACCACCACATTCTACTCCCTGGCCCTCAAAGGCCATATCATACAGCAAAAAAATGCATTCAGCCCAACTTCAAAAGTCTCCATAGTCTGTCGCAGTTTAAACAGTGTTTAGAAGTCCAAAGTCTCATCTCATCTGAATCACATGGAAATCTCTTAACTGTAATCCCTCTGTAAAAATCAAAATCAAAAAGCAGATCACACACTTCCAACATATAATGGCACAGGATATACATTACCATTCCAAAACACAGGGAAAGGAACATAATGAGGAAATTCTGGACCAAAGCAAGACTGAAAATGAGCTGGGAAAACTCCAAACTCTGCATCTCCATGTCTGATGTTGAAAGACCCCAACCGGGGGACTTCCACGGGAGGGAGACCCGAACCCAAGGAACACCAAGACCACGACCTTGGATGCAAACAGCAAGAGGCTTTATTGATAATACACGGGTACCCGGGGCGTCTCAGTCTCGGGAACTGAGAGCCCCGAGCTGGGGACTCGGGGGTTCTTTTATAGCAAAAAGCGCAATACAGAAGCGAGAAGCCTAGTTACGGGACCCTGATTGGGCAATTTAAATGAGGCGGGGGCTCAGAACGAGGGCAATTAAGGTTTCTCTCAGAACTCAAGTCTCGGCCTTGGCCCTATCTGAGGAACAATAGGTCTCTGTGCTTGCCCAATCTTGCTGGGCTGGCTATAGACACCTGTGTCCCTGGGCAGAGTTCCCTTCTGATAAAAAAATGACTATTCAGCTGTGGGGGAAACGGAATTTTCCATGAGCCTCAGCTTGCCTGTGTGGGCCGGGGTCTTTCAATGTCAAAACACCCTCCATGTCTCTAACTTCATTCAGCTCCGTTGACTGCAACACACATCTTTCTCTTCAGCTGGTTCTACTCCCTGTTAGTAGCTCTCCATGGCAGGTATCCCATGACTCTGGCATCTCCAACATCTTGGGTTCTCCAAGGCAATCCAGGCTTCAACTTAATGGCTTCACACAACAGCCTCTCTACTAGGCCTCCATTTAGAGACACCTTTGACATATGCCTGGCCTCAGCAACTGTCCTTAGGCAAGGAGACAACTTTTGTAAACTGTTTCTTCTATACTTACCTCTAAAGCCAAAACCATGTGGACAAAGCTTCCAAGTTCTGCTGCTTACTGGGGCTGGGACATGGGCCCCTTGTTCAATTACATCTTTATCATCTTTCTGTTTTCCTTTACTGCCTAAATTTGGCTGTCCTTGAACTTGATATTTAGACCAGGCTGTCCTAAAACTCAGAGATCTGACAACTTCTGCCTTCCCAGTGCAGGGATTAAAGGAGTGTACCACTACACCTGGCTCTAAACTTTTCTTTAATTCCTTTCCTCAAATTGGAAACTTAGCTAGATGGGATCTTGCCCTGAGGTCATCACTCCCTTTATTAAATTTCATAGTCTGTTTATCTTCTTGAACAGAATATTTAGCCTCCCCCCCCCCTTGAGGCAGCTGTCCTCAAAATGTGTGTTTTTTGCAATTTACCATGTTTAGCTTGCTCCTTTTCATCATAAAGCTTCATTGTAGTTATCACTAATATACACACAAGAGAGTCTATACTAGGTCATTTTGAGATTTCTTCTACCAAGGAAATTAATCCAAAATTCTTCACTTTAGCCTCAAACAGACTCTTCAGACAAGGGCAAAAGGTAGTCACTTTCCTCACCAAAATATCACAAGAATGATCTTTAGGCAGCATACTGAAGTTCTTCTCTGAAACCTCTTGAGTGAGCTCCCAACAGTTCAAATAATTCTTAGGACCTGTCTTCCATGCTTAAAGCATTGCATCGATTCCATAAACTAAAGTACCCAAGTCCAAATTTCTCCAAACAAACACATGGTCCAGCCTATCACCAATACCCCAGTCCCTGGTACCAACTTCTGTCTTAGGGTTTACTATTACTGTGAAGAGACACTTATAAATGAAACAATTACCTGGAGTGGCTCACTTACAGTTTCAGAGGTTCAGTCCATTATCATCCTGGACTTAAGGAGAGCATGGCGACATGCAGGCAGACATGTTGACTCAGAGGCAACAGGAAGTCCACTGAGTGTAATGCCGAGGGAAGCTTGAGGAAAAAAATACCTCAAAGCCTGCTCGCACAGTAACACACTTCCTCCAACAAGGCAATACCTCCAAATAGTGCCATCCCTTTGGGGCCCACTTTTTTTCAAACTTCCATAGCATTTCTTGAGAAACAAGTCAGTAAAGAGCATCTCTCTTTGGCTTCTGTATCAGCTCCTGCCTCTAGGTTCTTACCCTGATATCCTCAGTGATGGACTGTGACATGAGGCATGTGAGATGAAATAAATCCTTTCCTCCCCAAGCTGCTTTTGTTCATGGTCTTTTGTCACAGCAATAGAAACCCTAACTAAGACATTGGCCCATGTATTGTTGAGTAATTCAATAGCCTTTGAATCCTACTTGCCTACTGAGGAATAGTCTTTATAATTCTAATATCTTGTCATGCACCTGTGTCAATAAAACTGGCACAGTATGAAGCTCTTGGAAGCTTATCGGCCTGTTAGTTTCCTAACAAAATAGATGACCTCTAGAACCTCTTTCCTTGACTTGACACTGGTTAGTTAGTGTTCGTGCTCACATTTACTCTTCAAAGCAAGGTTGATCCTTCTATGGCCTGGAATTATTTTTTGCATCTTCAAGCAGCCTTTCAAAAACCTGGCCCTTTAGAGTCCAAGATAAAGGGAGTTTATTGTTCTTATTCAGGGTTTGGGAAATCAAATAATGAAGTTGAATAGTTCAGTTTTAAGCCAAAATCATATATGTAAATTTTCAGGATCTATCATAGGCAATTGTAAATCCTTTGTTTGGAAGGCTTCATTAGTACCTTTGCCTGTTCCAAGACATATTTTTGCACAGCCAGTACATTACATTCTCAGTAGAAGCTGCAGTGAAGGACTCAGACTCTTCTTATGTGGGCCATGCTCTTAATGAATACCTGCATTCCACTTGGAGGCCTCCATAATGATGGGTGCTAGGTTGAACTCAGCCAAAGCTTTGATCACCTTATCAGGGGTTATACTACTCTGTAACTTTAACTTTTGTGTAATGTTTAGCTAAAGCTTGGGTTGTCAGGAACAATCATTGTTATTTAGAACCTCTTGTAAATATTGCCAGCCTTTTTAAAGAATAGTCCATCGTGTTAAAAGAATAGCTACCTTCAGTCCCGTTCAACCCTCTTCCCCCTCCCCAGGCTCCTAATGAATTTGGGTTCACAGGAATAGCCTATGGCAAATAGGAAACTTTCCACAATTAGATCACTTAGCCCCTCCTTCTGTGACCCTTTCACACTGCTTTTCTTCACCTGCTATCCTGTCCTCAAGTGACCCTAAGGGCATTCTGTGACCTGGTTACTAGGAAATAACCCCTCACTCGTTGTCTTGCATTCTTCTGCTCCATCCCCTACCTCATTTCCCCTATATAAACTTGTACCAAATCTTCAATAAATGCAGCTTGATCCGCCATGTTGCCTTGCCGTTCATTTCTCTTGTCTCCTGTCCAGGTTTCTCTGGGCTAGACCTTCGTTGTGTCCTCCTGGCCAGGACATTGGGTAAAACCCAAACACCCTTTGGATCAATACTTGTCTACTTCAAGTCTTTCCCCTTCAACCTTCCTACAACTTCATGAGTCCAAAGAGAATGGACATTCATGAATCCTTTTGTTCAGGGATAATTTCTCATTTATACTGATCATATATATGTTCCATACTGGTTTCACTCTTTGGCAATAAATGGAACAGTAGAAAAATTAATAAATTCTTTTATGAGTTTTGATTATATTATCAAAGAAAGTAAATAATATGCATAGGACTCTGAGAGTTGGTGTAAAATATATCATATACATTTTGGCTTCACTCTCAGAAATATGGGCTGAGTATATAGCTCAATGGGTAGAGCACTTTCCAAGCATGTATGAGTTGCCACAAACTACCTTCCCAGTTTCTAGCACTTATTTTATTCACCTCCTCTGCTCAGAAGAGGTAATTCTAACTGCTGTTTAGGGAACTGGGGAACTGATTTATCTGGCTTCTTCAAACTGTGTAGAATTGTCAAGTGTGGCATTTATGCTAACTCTTCATCAAGCCTACCTAGGGAATGTCAAAAAGCAGTTCCATTTATGTGAGTTTGGGCATAGGAAGAAAAGAAAAACTCTGACTGCTGCCTGAATAGAGACAAAGCAACAAGAAAGGCAGGGAAAGTGTTAGGAAGAAGTGAAATTGGAACCCTTCAAGCAGAGGAAATGAAAAACAAAAATATATATCACTAAGTTTTTGTTCTTAAGTGTTTGGATTTAGAATCAGCTAAACATTACACAAAAGTTAAAATTTCCAGAGCAGTGTAACTTACCTTCTGGGCATTCAATAACCATACTTGACCTATACAAATGTAGATAGAGAGATTA